AGTTTAGTTTGTTTTAGGCAAACCCGACTGTGAACTGGCACCGGTATGCCGTGGAGCAGAGGTGAGCATGCAATTTTTAGGATTGAGCCTTTTTACCTTGCCTTCTGATAGGGAACGTTGCATCAAGGTGGCACTAATGGTCATCCAAGGGAAGCACTCCATCCAGCTAGCACCAGTATGACTTCGTCCTCGGACCCCCATCATAGCGTTAAAATTCACACTACAACAGTAACTTCTTTTCGTCTTACCGCTATCCAATAAATCTTTCTGGTATGATGGGATCTCGAGGGGACAACTGCGCCATCAGCAAAGCTCATCTAGTCATTATGATATGCAAGCCCAACTACCACGTCAAAGTAGCAGCCATCGTTCACCAACTGTAAAAGTACTCCAACTAACCCGAATAAAACAGTAAACAAATAAAAAGGTATTCCGATATGGTACGACCTTATGTACCAGGCCACGAGAAACAGGTTTCGGGTTCTACTTCACCAATTTTGCTAATATAAAACCACTCAGCATCATATTCTTCATGAGTGTCTAAGCAATTTAGAGTGTCCCAGGAACAGATGAGTGGTAACATAAGAACATCTAGATACCCAATATATATGCACCACAAAAGAATGTTAATAATTCTATATCCATTTTCTTTTGACAACAAATTATGACTTCATGAAAAGAAGAAAAATATGTATACTGAAATAAATGTCGAGGGAGATCACAATAAAGAAAAAAGAAAGAAGACCAGTTAATACATCATCAAGTAGACATATACAAATAAAAACTTTAATCCTGACTTGTGAGTATTATATTGACAATCTCACAAAAAAATATTTTCTTGACACAATCTGAAATTACATAAGTTGTGTAAAGCACCAAAAGAAACTCAGAAAAGGTATGTTCAGTGTAAGTATTCTGCATGATAAGGAAAATTTATGTCACTATGCATAATAGAATGTAAAACATATTGAATTGTCTGAATAGGTTATGCAGCAGGGCTGGCTGGTTATTGAGAACAAATCATTTCAGTGTTTTCTTTACTGTATGCATAGAGATATGCATGAATATTATACACACTGTCAACTGTTCACTCAAGGTGGACTATTCAGAATGTCAGTTGTAAAATACGCGTAACAAATTAATTGGTACGAGAAAAGTGATAATATTTACACACCAATAATAATAATAATAATGATAACAATAGACATCTCAGAGTAGCTGCCAAATCGAATCCACAGAATCTTGGGAGACACACGAGTTAAAGTCTGTGTAAAAATGTTCTGGAAAAACTGTAAGGTCATAATTTAGCGCTGTTTACATAACACAATTTTTGTTCGATAGCCAAATGTGAAGGCAAGATAGGCCAATTTGCTAAAGAATAAATTCAGTAAAAGAGAATAGGGAAAAAAAAATATTTAAAAGGTTTTAGTGGCTATTTCATCAGGTATCACACCTGAAAGAAATCATAAAAACCTAAATATACAACTGAGACTGAGATAATATTACTTTACTAGTAGCACAACCTTCTAACAGAAAAACATTGATGTGTTTGGTGTATATTGTGAAGATTTTAAGATGCTTTTCAAAAAGACTTATCATAGTTTCTCCTCTGACAATAGATGGATGTGTGAACAAATATTAGGTCTATTCAATAGAATAAGCTTTATTATGCTAGTTACAAAATCAGACAGGATTTTTAACACAATCAAAAACGAATTTATAACCCTTTTCATGCTATAAGAGTGTAATCTATTTTCTTAGCAAAACAAATCTACTCTTTTTTCTAAATCGCCTCATGCATTTCACTTTCTATAGATTCTTGAACAGAGATATATCCATCCATCTTAGTCATTGATATTGGCATTATTTGAATAAACGCCTTTATGCATAATAGTCACAAAGAATCTATAAGAAGTATATATACGGAGTACCCATTTTAGACAGGATGAAGAATGCTGATTCTAACATTGAAAACGATACGTTAGTTATCGAAAAAGAGAGTGCAGTCAACCATCTTGTGTACATCTGTATAGTAGGTAATAAGCCATATCTATTATGTGAGGGTTAATGATACTACTGCCAGGCTACCCGAACCTCAGTAGGTGGAGCGAGGCTAGAACCTGTGACCCATCGGTTGATAGTAGTTCCCTTAAACCACTCAGCCAAAGCTTACCCTAGCGCCGGAATCAGTTGATATTCAGTTTAACAATAGTGAGTGAAACGGTTGACTTCTGTGTCCACTTTATTTATCTAGTAAGCTAGATTGTCCTGAAGGGTCAGTAGCCAACTTTAGTTATAACAAACATACAACTACAATATATATGTTTGAAACAGTCATAGGGACTACAAATTATTGTCTTAGCACTTAAATTCATGATCGCAAAGTGAAAGCATAAGACGCCTTTCACTTACCGACGCTTTGCTAGACATTATAGTTACCAAAAATAACAGATGTGGCCCGTAGCCTAAAAGATAATCTGTTCAATATGGGATAAGATAATACTTGAAGTTGAAATGCTAACCTAAGTGGTGGTAGAATTCCTATTAGAGGTCTCTGTGTTACTGATGCGGTGTTATAACAACAAATCACCACGCATTAGGTGTTTTTACTAATCTTCATACTACAATTAGTACGAATTGGTTAGTGCAAAACGTATCACAGAAGTCTGACTGAAATAATTTTTAGTTCACTATCAACACGACTATCCAGTCAGAGCTGATATCAACAAACGAACTGGCACTACTGAGTAACGGCACAAGCCCCTACTACACCAAAAGTCCCCAAGGCATCAAAATGAAAGCGAGAAATAGGGAAGAAAATAATAAGGAGTAATGGAGAGTCAGAAGAACAAAGAAAAAGGAGTAAGACAATAACAGAATTCTGTATGACTATCACGATAAAGATAATGAGGGAATATATTCGCACCACTGCAATCGTTCACGATACAGATCATCTAGAACCTCCAACCACTGATTTCGGATCCCAACAAAGCTGAGATTTCACGAATTGATACCAAATTTCCAGTGGGGCCACCTCTAAATTTTTCTGTCTAAATCCACTTTAGTCAATACTGTACAACAGGGCAGATGGTGACAAGGTTGCGAACACATGTCCCCACCACTTCAGTCAACGAAGGTTTACAACCTCATGAACTGACTTATCCCTTCTTCTAATAATGGTATTTTTGTGGTGAAAAGAGCGACCCAAATAATTACAAACCGTCGCTTAACGTGTTTAGAAGACTGCATTTTATCAGTATCATCCTCTCCAATAGAGCTACATAAACTGAGAACTCTAGGTCTACTAAAGATTCTTCTGTGATAGGTTAAATCCCTGTAAAGTCACGTGAAGCGAGGTTATTGCAGCTTCATACGAAACTGAGATGAATTTTTATCATACACAGTGACTCTATGATCAATGAACCCATACCAAAGATTGAATAAAAAGGTTGAGATCCCCAAAAAAATTAAGTTCAGAAATATTTTCAAGTCTGATGGAAAGTGATGCTTATCACAAAAACTTTAACTCTAAATCGGACTTGGACCAGCTGCTTCCAACTAACCAAAAGAATTGTTGACACAGTTAAAAGTATTTTCTGCAAAAGTTCAACACCCCTGACCATAAGTTTAAAGGTTAGAAAAACTCGTATTTTGTATAGTCTTGAAACAGGTAAGTTCCATAGGTGACACTTAACCTCGGGGTCAAAACATGAAACACTGATCACGTGCAAGTTTGTCTTGCCTGTGAACCCTTTCAAAATATATTAAGGTGCTATTAAAAAGTGACTGATAACAACAATGCGACACTTGAATGTAACGAACATAACATTGTGGATAATTTGTCACATGTATATACATGAGATGATTACTTCTCGTTGTGTAGAAACTCAACAGTATAACTATCAGCAAATTTTAATAAAAATTACTATGATATCACATGTTTAGACGATCGAATATAATACCTATATAACAGGCTAAAATTTATCTTATAAAGTAGAAATTGAATTTGTCAGTTAAAAACTAATTACCGTGAACTGTCATTTATACACTGTCTGCAACACCCAGTTTATTCAATGAATCTTGTTCAAAGCGTCTTTGGGCTTCTTGCTGACGCTGATAATGCTGTTGAAGCTGTTGCAGTCGTGAAGTTGATCCTGGCGTCAAACGTAAAGTTGGTGGAAGTATGGGTGGAGGATCAGAGGATGTTGGCGGTGAATGAGATTGAGTGGAGTTACCTGATGTAGGGAAACAAGAGTGTGATAGCTTAGGAGACGAATTGTCCGAAGGAGAACGATGAGTTGAACTACTGACAGCTCGTTTACCCAGTTGCCAAGTTCCACGACTTTGGTGAGCCGGTTGATTCCAAAGTGGAGTACTACTTCCAGAAGTTGAATTTGGTGTGCTGATAATAGTTGGCGCAGTGAAGGACAAATTACTTGTTGTAGTAACGGTAGTAATAACAGTGTTGGTGCGTGAGTCATCACACTCTAGTAAACTTTTAAGTAATTGTGATGCTGGGTTTGTAGCTAATACTGGGGAATTGGAGCTAGTAAGTGCTACGGAAGTGCCACACAAACTGTGACGAACCGAAATTGTTGAACCATCATCGGTTATGTTTGATGCTCCAAGGTCCATGACATAAGTTCCATCCGTGGAAACTTCACAGGGTAAAACGGTATTCGCTGTGAATCCCCCAGGCCTATAAATACTAAAGCTACTGTTAGGTACTGAAAATCTTCCTAACCCTATGGTATTCGCACCAAAGGGAGATATGCTGTATCCAGGTGCTGTTGGCAACATGACTGGACGATCCGATTTTGGCAAAATCTTTCTAAATGAATGGTACTTATGGACAACTGTTCTCTTGAGGGGACCTGAGCAAACAGTAGTATTGGTAGAAGATTGCGCAGGGATACCACTCGAACCACACAGAATGGCGGAAGAGGATGAGGAAACAAACGGTTTTCCTGCTACCAATAACTGATCACTAACATTGTCAACTACTGATGGGACTTGGGTGCGGTAAAGTTTTCACCAATATTGCGGGAACCTAAAGAGGGAAATGAAAATAATACTGAGATAAGACAAGATAATAACAAAATGGTTGATAAGCGGAGACAAAATACGCGAAAAGTATAAATACTCACTGAGAAATTATGTAAGTATACTATTTACTCAGTGATACAGTTCAAACGTAAGTAAGCAAGCAAACCAAATAGCTCATAATTAAAGTTGGAAAGCGAAACTAAAAAAAAGATTCATCCTTAGTGATGTTGATTCCAATTACATATCTGAAGTACATACTATCAATAATCCAGTCAAGGGAGTTATCACTGTTTTCTTTATGGGACAATTTGCATAGGCGAAAGACCACAGTACCTAAACTGTTGACATAAATCAGCTCTTACTACAAAATGAAAGGCGGCACTTAGTAAAGATCATCTATAAGCATTGATATATGATAACCAAGACATTGGAGTCTTGAAAGGAACTGTTATAACAAGTAAAACATAGCCCTGGAGCACTGATGACAATCTGAGAGGCTCTAAACCTCATAACGCTTCAGTTGCGTGAAACTGATGTTTCAAGTTGCAGTGTACTACTTGTACCCAGGGATCATTAGATGCCTATTCATCAATGATCATAACGCGCACAACGACAAGAAACACATGAGATGACGCATAATATGAAGCTCATGGATGAAGTGTGAAATATGATTACCAATACTGATTACCTACTCCAAGGGAAGGTGCTCCATCTTAAAAGTTCTAACCGCAATCTTAAAAGATCAAATAAAATAAAAAGGGGTCGAAAAGGCTTTAAAGTTTCTTTAATGGTCGGACCGAAACCGAAACAGTAGTGCATTACGTTTCTGACTGTTGGTCTGAGCTGTGTACCGAAGTGTAGACTCCCTAGTTAGGGTCCTGGACACAATATGAATCAATGATTGGAGACTCTTGGTGATGGCTAAAAACCGGCCGGATCGCAACAGCAAAAATGTATACACTTTTTTAATGTCAAAGTCTTGATTATTATTCATTAGCCCTGATTTATTTATCCTCTCAACTTGTGTACACTTTTCTAACCGATTTTTCTGCGTATACTGTTGAGAGTAGCAAACTGAAATAATGCACTTTTTCCCAGGTTCTACATGTGGATTTGTCTCTGGAAATTCAACTGTGTCTATTTCAACTATCCATAACAAAATGTGCAACTATTCAACTTAGAGATGATATTTGAAGCAATTATGGCAGAATTTATCAAGCCATCAAACTTTGAGTCATAATGACCTCATAAAAAACGAAATACTTATTTATCCTTTAGTTTCGCTAATATCATGAAGTCATTTCAACATACAGAGTGAACAACGAGCAAATGTCAGGATCACTTCAACCAACAACAAATAAGGAAGCAGACAGTTTTCCAAAGCATCTAATAGCACTCAATAGAGGTGGTAACCCATACTTTCTGAGGTTCTTAAGAAGACTCATTCACAAACCGTCAACTACTCAACTAGATCTGCACAAAAAATTTCAACCTCCTCAGAATGTAAGATATACAAAGTACTACCAAGAGTGAATGACAAAAATATTATTGCTAAAAAAAATATAAGGAAAAACACTAGCAGCAGGTTACAGTTCCTAGTACTTCCAGAAAACTAATATAACTAGTTTCTTACTTTCAACAGCCACATAGGTGAAATTTCTTCATCAATAGCAAAAATTGCATCAAACCACACATCGGTGTTGTCAACAATCGAACCTTGTTTGACGAACTGGTGTGTGTGTTCTGTGTTAGACCGAACATTCAGAGGCTTTACGAATTGACGCTGCGTTTAAGTGTGGCCATTCAGCCTTTATCCAACTCTACAGCAACCCATGTCGGGTAGACGGCAACAATACAAACGTGATACACGACCAAGAAATCTTAGTCGATAATGGTTTAGAATCTCACCAACTGACTTGTCTCGTTTATTATGATTCTACACCCATAAGCTCTACATTAATCACATGACGGTTACATGGCACATAAGTAATGCTTCTAAGGCAACACTGGTAAAACAGCTGGAGTCCTCTCATGCGCTTTGCCATTTATAGTCATGTTTTACAGACAAAGAGTGAACCACTGAACTGCTGCACAGTACACTCGATCATTTTGGGGTAATTGAATAATTCATTGTTGCTATAAGTTGGCGAAAGCCACCATACATGCGTTAGTATAGACCAATGGGACGAAACTTACTTAGGCAAGACTTCCTAAATAGACTGCATATGAGAAAGGAACAAAGAAACGTATTCAATAACTAAGTGCATATTCGGGTAGTAAGCAGAGCGAGGCTTATTGTGTAGAGGCTTATGATACTCCATGGTTGCTGGGACTTCGGTAGGTGGAGAGGGGTTCAGATTGGTTACCCATAGGTTTGAAGTCGAGTGTTTAGACAAGTGAGCCACAGCTCAAAGCATTTACGGGAAAATGATAACACGCGCTTTGTTGTAATATCTGCAAGAAAAGCAAGTATCCCCATTCATCCACTTTCAGCACCGTGGTAAAAGGTATCATTTTGAAAAACTAGCTAGGTAACAGGTGCAACACTAAACATCTGATATAACTGTAATTAAAGCGTCATGGATTCGAGAAGTATTCCTGTCCGAGGACGTTTCAAAGAAACTGACATGAAAACATTACAACTTTTAAAAATTTCATTTGCAACGACATACCTGCATTCTGATCTGAATCAAGAAAGCAACGAACTGCAGGAGGTACGACAGGATTATAACACTGGGATTGTAATCGCGAACAACTAGCATACGCAGGATTTAAGGTAGGGCGTCCAATTGGCCAACTAGCACGAGGTGTTCTCATAAACGTTGGATGGTGGGAATTTGCAGAAGGAAAACTCTGAGGTTCTGTAGATATTGTTGTTTGCAGGGTAGTTACTGATGAGGGAATGTTGTCAAAAAAACGGCTTGAAGTTAACTTATGTGTAGGTAGAGAAGTGGGCTGAAATGAAGTAACATTAGGAGGTTCAAACACCTTTGTAATATTTTTGAGTTCAAAGTCTTCCATATCATCATCTTCATCATCATCCTTATCATCAATTTCAAGTTTTGGATTGTTTCTATTACTTAATTCTTGATTCAGGTGGACTGAGAATGATCGAAGGTCAGAGTTAAGCCCAGGGGTGTTTTGCACCATTGATGGTTGGTTGTACTGTAAGGATTGTTCAGGTTGCGGGAACTGTGAAGGCTGTAAGCACTGTGTGTAACCTGTTTCTGGTTCGGGTTGCTAAAAAAGAGGCAATGCAGTTTATTGTCATGAAAAAAGTAAGATTACAATATATAGTGAGCTAACACCAAACAGCAATTCAACGTTGTAAACACATAACAGACAAATGGCGAACAACAGAAACGCACCTTTCTAACAGACTTCTTAAGATTTGATAACAATTATCTTGATTGATCACAAGAAGCAGCTAGAGCGATAAATGCAGACGTCAACAATATATTTTAAAAAAGTTTATTTATTTCGGCTACTCACATTCATTTGCATACTGATGTACATCTAAAAGCAAATGTTTGGAAGCTCAAAATGTCTGGTGTTATCTTACAACACACAACTGGTATCACTCGAGTAGAAACAATGAGCCAATCTCATGTCAACGTAAAAATCCAGGACGTGAACAAAAAGTGGAAGCCAATTCAAATATAATAAGCAAAGCATTTAGACTGTCAAATATTCAGTCAAGAAAAAACAGATAAGATAATCAAATCACATTGATATGATTACGAACAATAACTTATGCTCGATACGTCATCAAGTAAATAATACTATATCACCATGTTATAAATCAAATAAACAAATCTAATATGGAATTAAATTCTACCACAGTGCTCAAGTTGTACACCTATATTAGATAAGATATACTTAGTGTCACATTTTGCTTGATTTTCTTCATGACATGACATAAAATAAAGTCTAAAACAAAACATTGATGAATGCTCAGATTAAAATTTACGCGCAAAGTGTGTTAAAAAAAAATGAGGCATCTGATGACAGCCATGTAATTTCGTGCTTATCTCTCTTAGACTGGTTGCCCTTCAGAAAATACAATCACCAAATAACTATACGTCCAAAACGTGCAAGAAGTTACTCATCACTTTTTGTGTGCTCAGCAAATAACTGACAGCGAAATTAAACACTGAGTAAATATAGAGCACCAAGTAATGTATGAGGAATCCCAACGTAAAATATGAAAGGATTGCGCTTACTCTATCGTCATTCAAATCTTGATACAACAAACTATTATTCACTTCATCTTCTTTTCACTCCGTTTTATGGTTTTTCTGGAATGCATATAATACTGTTATTTGTTTGGCCAGCCCCTTATCAACTGTAACCTTTCTGTGGTGTGAAGCGTGACAAATTACGAAGCCATGAAGTAATTTCAGGTCACATGACTGATTGACTGACAAAATTAACGTAAAACCTGGCACACAGATGAATCGGCCAAAGTTGCCACATTTCACATTAGTATACGAAGAACGGGTGGATAGAAGAGTAACACCGAAGTAGATAAAGTTTTGTGAAAGAATAAACAATCTGAAGATAAAGGCTAATGCGAATATTCAAGCCTCAGAAGATGTCAAGAAGTGAATACATCTGTGCCCTTGCAATGGATTTTCAGTCATGTCACCCAGAGTTCTTAACCACTGATTACTATCGTATCGAGTGCCTCAGACAGGTAATCTAAATCTACCCACATGACTCAGACCAACAATCAGGGAATATGTCAACTGCTCCCACGTCTTGGTCGGGCTACTTCGAACTCTCTCCTGACCTAACCTAGTTTCCTCTAGTATCGAACACCGAAGTAGGCGGCTCGACAGGCGCAATACATGTACAAACCATCTCAGTCGACTAGGGTTCACAACCTCATTCACTGACTTGCCTAATAGTCTTCGCTTGACTTCAACATTGCTCACGGTGATTCCGCCAAAAGCGAACAATGCAACAAAGACGCCTGTGATCAAAACCATGTAACCGCTTTATGTTTTCTACTTTCAACGGCCATGTCTCACAGCCAGACAACGGGGTAGAACGAATTGCAGAGTAGCATACTCGTTATCCGACAGTCGAATATCTCGCCAGTCGGCGCCAAAGATGACGCAAATTAGTAAGTGCCTAACACGCCTTTTCTATCCGTGCTTAGATAACGTCAGCAACCGGCCCGTTCGGGTTGATGTGACTCCCCAAGTAAGTGAAGTTGTAGACACATTTCACTTACAGTCCTGGAGCATCTTCAACTCGGCAGGTGTCAGCAAAACGCATGCTAAACATACTCAGATTTCTGCTCAATGCGTTCAAAAGACCCTGCAGTGTGTCAGCGTCTTCACCTAGCAGGACAATATCATTGGCATACTCCAAGCCAGCCGACTAACCCCCAGCGACAAAGTCAATCCCTGTGAAATCTGACGTACTCAAGTTTATATTGATCAGTGTGTCTATGACGAAGTGAAGTAGGAACGGTGACAATTGGTGTTCCTGTCGGACAGCAATAGTTGTCGTTAATTCTGATGACAAGTCTTCGTAAACCCTTACATGGTTGCGTGAGTTTGAGTTGCACTTTGATTATCGTATGCTTGCTTGCTCGGTACTCTTTTCAGTCAGACACCATCACAATGCCTCACGATCAACACGGTTGAATCCTGCCTTCAATTGGCAATTGTCGACTGTTAGGTATGTCTGTGCTCCAAAACATGTTGGAGGGTAGAACATGATCGATACACCCTCGTCTAGGTCTGGAACCGTACTGGTTCTCTCGAGTTTGCTGTTTTCGAGCTCCAGTTAGGCGTCGGATAACTATGGACCCTAGGATTTTGAAAATATCAGTCAAACTAATCCTCTCATGGTTGGCACAAGAGGATTTCTTTCTATTCTTATAGACTGGGATACACAGCGAAGTACACCAGCCTGATGGGACTAACTCTAATTTCCATACACTACAAAATACTTCCATCATTCTAATCAGCAATTTCCTACTCCATCCTTAAAATCCTCAGGCGGCAAACTATCAGGTCCTATGCTTTACATTGTTTACATTGGTTCAATACAGCTGTCTCAACTTCAAGGAGAGTTGGAGAACCGTCATCTAGGTCCCATTCAGGTTCAGGCTGGATGTCGGGCAACTGAGGCGTTGCTGGGAGTCAGTTGAGCTGTGCTTCGAAGAGTTCTGTCCAACGCTCTAGCAGCCTTTCCTGGGAAGTTATCAGCGTCGCATTTTTTTCGGTGATGGTTTCTCTAACCATCGTCTTCTTGGCGTGTATCCTTAATAAGACTAACTAGGTGCTGCATGTTACTCAACGCTGATGCCTTCTCTACATATCTCGCCTTCGCCACCCACAGATGCTCGCGATCATTTCAAAGACTCTTGGTCAACTTACGTTTGAGTTGCTTTCGCGCTCCATTGTGATTACAACCAACTGGAATCAGTCTTCTCGCATCAATCCAGTTCGACTGACGTGGTGGAAACCCAATGACGTTTCCTAACCTTAGGATGTTGGCTACCAACTGTTTCCACTGCTGTTTCATGCCAGGTCTCCTCAAGATGAGCATTGCCGTCGCGTTCATATAAATGTTGATCATCAACTTACCTCGACCAAGAATCTTAATGTCAACAAAGTAATGTTATGAGGTTGGACTAAGTACAATCATTTGAGAAGTCGAATGGTAGTCATAAGAATATAATAGGCACTCAAACCACTGTTCATATGAGTAGAAACTAAGTTGCGTAAGCATTTAAGTTATCATTTCTTCTATCAGCACAGCAAGGGGAATCAGCAAAATGTGGCACAAAAGAATGAAAATAATAATATCGATGCATTGAAGAGCTAAGCGGAAAGTGATGGGAACAAAACAGGAATAAAAGTATGGATTAAACAAATGCCGCAGATTTAGAGAGAAATGAGATGTAGACATATTTATGCCTCTGAAATATATTCCGAACTTTTTTTAAAGTCACTAACCTCTTATAGACAACAGTCTTGCAACGTGAAGTTCTCCAGGAACCTCTAAAACCCAAAGACTTTTTATGAGCTAAAGCCATCCCTTGGTGTGATCGTCTTGAAGTTTTTTTTATCTTGCTCCTACTCAAACCTTTAATTGAGTCACTTTTAATTCGAATAAAAACAAAAGCACATAATGACATGAAACTAATTTTCGAAAGATTATACTGAATCTACTACTACATATACTGAATTCTTAGCATACATAAAATAATTACCTGAGACTGATTTTGAGAACGAGTAGTTACAGGATTTCCGGGAGATTGAACTTGCAACGATGTATGAGAAGAGCGGTGAGGAGACCGGGAGTCTCGTCGAGAAACCGGTCGACTAGTTTCATCTTGTAAACGTTTTAATTTAAGAAGTTGGCTTGCACTGAGAGACGTAGCTGGTGTGTGAGAATCATCAATTACTGAAGTGATTTCATCATCATTTACGAAGTTTGAAACAGTTGGAACATGACAACTACTAGTACTAACAACACCATATGGAACGTTGTTTTCCGAGCACACATCACCTGAAACTGCTATTGATTCTGTATCAACCTTCATATGAAGTTCACCAGAAACTGTATTTGTGGGCTAGTAAATTTAGAGAGAAAAAAGGAAACTTCTGAAAATACGATGTGTAGATTGAAGAGAAATATTCATATTCAATAAGCATCTAAATACGATCACAGACTGAGGACAGAATTATTTTATGTCTCTTGTTACATCGCTGCTTGCATTTTGTTCCGATTTATTTCTTGTGTTCTAATGCAACGAGTTCATAGATGATGCTAGATAACTTGTATACTCTTCCGTCTACCTGAAGAATTACTGACTTCCATACAACTTCCTTCGTGTTACTGAGCGACAAAAATAAACTTCATGAATCACTCAGAATGTTTCCGCAGTAACAGCTTTAAATCTTAGCACAGCCATTGGAATCTGTGTATCATTACCGAAATCCTATGGTAAAAATACTTTACACTAGATACTAAATACTCGCAAATATATTTTAAATTCAGCTTGCTATTTCTCCTTTTAGACAGACAGCAATCAAGAGAAACTTTAGGTACCTTAACCTAAACAAAGAATACAATATAGTCACACGTGAATAAGTTTAACTAAAATAACGGACACATCTGACTTACGGGGTCATTACTTTCCATTTCGATTTGCGGAGTTTCTGGCGTCGAATCACTCACGCTCTTTGCAGTTACAGTTGACAAATTATGTTCGCCGAAATTACCATCAGGAATAAGCTCACTGGTTACAGATTTTGAGGAATAATCCGCATGTAGGTTCTCATGGTCAGTACAGTCAATAGGCATATCCGCCTCTAAAGGAATGGAAGAGTCCTGTTTTGAAAGCGTTACATCAGAATCTTGTATTTTTGATTTGGTGTTAGATCGTGGATCAGATAAGGCTGAAGGAATAACACTCAAAGTAGGACCATTCACTTTTGACTGCTCTAGATTTGTCGTGTGATTTTGTACGACGCCCAGCGTTGTTGTGGCTTGTAAACGTCTGAAATGGTTTGCTGCGGAATACGCAGGCATTTGAGCATCATGAAAAAGGACAGCTGATGCAGACGAACTTAAACCTGAGTTGTTCGGCGTTGTGCATGAGACAGTACTACCCGTCGAACTTGACACCAAGGCACTTGTTAGAGAATTTGTAGATGCGATCGATATGCTGACGTTTGAACTACCGAGTGGATTGGTAATAACAGCAGAAATACGTTTTCGATTAAGTATTTTTGGCACAGTCAAACTGCCGGTATAGACTTTTCGAATAACTTTTCGTGGACTGTGACGGCGATACGGTAGACTCTGAACGGATCCGGTGACAAAATTGCTGGACTCTCGTTTGGAAATGCCATGACTGGGATTCGAAGCACTGTTCATATGAACAGTCGATGACTCTTCGGAAGTTGCACTGACTTGCTCATCTTCCTTCATTGATCCAATGCGATACGAGACTGCTGAGCGTTTGTGTGCCTCTGTGCTACTAGTTGCATGAATACTTTCAAACTGCATACAAGAGCGCGGTGTTTCCATTTTAGTTGGGCCGGAAGACGAACAACTCTGTGAATGACGAAGACGTACTTTATCAAAAGACTCCAAAGCAGAATAAGTATGGCTGATTTTCTCACTACTGCGTAAAACATGTGGTTTGACTTTTCGGTTTATGCTTAACTTTCTGAAGTAATTATGTCGATGCAACCTTAATCCCTCAGAGTCGGAATGACAATCTCGAATACAACTTGATGCCGGATGCATAAACAAACCTGAATCACTCTGATACCCATCAAACAAAGGAGAATCATTCAAATCTCTAAAATGATGACACCTGCTTGAATAGTGAGGGCGTGAGGAACAAGCATGCCTAGAAGCTAAACAGGAAATCCTTCTGGAACAATTCTGGTTACCTGTAGACGAGCGGTAGCTCAGCGGTTTCTCATGTGAATCCAACTTTGAACGAAGCAAAGAGTTAGAACGCCGAGTACGCCTTGTACTAGCATCATTCTCAGAAGAAAAGTAAGAACAATATTGTACTCAGCATCGTTATTGGCATTTTGTCGAAGCGCTAGTGACTGTATGAAGAAACCTGTACGGCTCATACGTTGTGTGAGTATATTCAACTCTTCCGCATGAAGCTGCTTAATATGGATTTCGTCATCATTTTGTGAACACTGCAATTCAACCCAAGAACCAGACGATCAAGGAGAGTGAGTTGGCACATTTTATCCGGACGTCGGGGGATACGATGGCGTGATCCATGTACATGACTTGCTTCAGATAAGCCTACTCGACGGTTACCTAACTTGGAACCAGCACGTATACGCGGCGAACTTAATGAACGCTCTAACTTCCGTGGGCGAAACTCTAGACAGTTGTGAAAACGATAACTTGATTCCGTTTGGTCAGAAGGTATATCTTTTGCAGGGCGATGATACCACCTTGCTTGACGGAAAGACCTGCCATAGGCATCTACTATACCAGAGTTCGATGTTGATGAAGACGCTGGGGAATCATCACGCGAATATGTTTTGCATGAATAACGCTTTCCTTCCTTGCGCGAAGTTAAGAAACGTTCACTAGGACGCTTTCGTTGAAATGTGATTGCACGCCTTCTTTTGCGTCGTCTTTCAAGACGTCGAACATTCATTAGCTTAACTGAAGCATCGTACTTGACACCTAGCATATCAACACCATCGTTACTACAAGTTCGCAGGTGAATTGCATTATCTGACTTGGGATGCGAGTAATTCGTTAGTTCTTGTGTGCGAAAATCGTCACATTCTTTTGAATTATCCCCTTCAAGCCTATGAGGGCTGCTATCAGGTGACCTAGTAGATGATACATCATCAATACTTTCTATCCTACCTTTGGCAGTGAAGTTAGTTTGACGCCGTCGACGCTGAATGTTATTGCTGATCGACGGGACTTCATTTTGTTTATTTGACGAGACATAGCAAAACTTCCAGTCAATATGATGACTCACGTCTGGATGACGGCTATTTTGAGATGACATTGAAATACTTATTTTTGAAGAACGGTGTCCCGCCCGGCTTTTTCTCGGATCCAAATGTGATGACCTCTGACACAATTCATCCACAAACCCTGAATTATGAGATCTAATAGGAGCAATTTGAACACTGCCTTGAACATGTGATTTGGCTCGAATAAGCTTTTTGGCAGCGGTGAGTCGAGCTGCAGAAACCGTACTTGGACGTGTTGATTGATGTAAGATTTTATCGCTATTGTGAATACTATCAAGCGACAGAAGACCATCAACATGACAGTGGTGGTTGCTCTGAGATATCATGTCCGAGTATCGTCTTGGACGAGGATTGGGACGCAAACGGCCCATTAAATTACGACTTAACTGCTTACTCCGATCTTCTCGACGCCTACGCCAAACTTCACAAACACCTGGACGTAAAAGACCATTCATTGCCAAAAACAAGTCTTTCGTAGCAAGTTCATCATTTAACTTACTTTCACTGCAAATACCGTCAAAAATTTGAGCGACAGAAGTGGAATCAAAGTTCATTACGAGTTGGTTTTCATCCATTTCGCCAGATGCGGTTTGAGGCTTCTGACGACCTTTACGAAGACGTTTAACAGGTAACTTTACAAAGCCCAACACATTCACTTCATTCAAAACTTCTTGCAGAACATCATCTGTAGCACCAAAATGAAGTGAGACTGGTGAGCTGGTACAGGAAACCCGAACTAGGTTAAAGCCTGGAACATCACTCTTTTTAGTGGGATCTGAATAAACATGGCATGAATCTCGTGAAGTTGAACCAAGCATTTCTCCAAAGAAAACCTCTTTACTTTCAGATTTCATGGGAGCACTTAACTTAGGAACCGCTGCGGAATAGCTTTTAAGTGGTCTGCCACGTCGTCGTTTTGCTGGTACTGGAGAAGTATAGTTAGTAACATTATCGCCTTCTTTTTTAATGTAGTAGTCCATAGGGAATTGATTACCAGCCTCCTCAGTTTTTATAGGGTTTGAAGTGTCTTTTAAATCTACACACTCCACAGTAAGAGTTTCCGAAGAATCAAGTTTAAAAACACTAACTCTATCTTCGGTATCTAGAAAATCCGACGGTTTATTTATTGAATGAACACCGTCACAAAATAATGCACGAGAAAGACCTCTTACGAACGATGGGCGTCCTCTTCTTGCACCCCTACGTAGTGGCTTGTCCGACGAAGATACATCATATTTAGATTTATCCCCCTTAGTGTTGCATCCACGTGTCTTTAACGCTGAGTCATTACTTGTCATAAGTGAGTCTTCATCTGCATTTCTTGTTCGTGTAGAATAAGCAGATTGGGATAAAGAATCACAAGCAAGATTACTGTGCTTTGGATCTACGAGAGCCGAATAAACCGAACGGCTGGTTCCATGCTGGCCGCGGCTACCGCGTTTACGAATCCTTGGTCTTCCGACATTATTTGCGACTCGAGTTCGTGAAGCCTGAGATGACAAACGGGTCTTTAGCTGGTTCTGTAAGCAGTGAGTAGTGGCGTGACTTCCCTTTGACTGAGTTAACCTGAGGCTAGTAACACTTTTGTTTCTACTTTGTTTTGGACCCAATCCAAGCGAAGATACGATGGATCTTCTCTGGCCTCGATTCCTGAAACGAAGTGATAACATACAAAATTCTTGTCAACATGGAAAAAAATTTTAAAAATATCACAGTTCACTCAAACGAGGATTTCAATTAGGATATAACCGCACAATGAGAATCATTTGTTTATTCATCTAGTGATCTGAAAGCACACTTTAAAGCAGTTTCTTTAATCACTTATAGGTTATTTGTAGCATTTACGCATAAGTAACATTCACATAGTCGTTACGGAAATTGTGATCTCATTTGCAATTGATATGAAGTAAGCTAGACGAAACTACAGATCGGAAAAAAGCTTTCGAAAGGATATTCTATCAAGGGACTTCGGTCTACATGTAATGAACTTAATGCATACAGCATTATGAACTTACTCAAGTTGTCCTTAAGCTCATATAATTAAGGCATAGGCATAATGAACGAAAAAGGAGCAGAATCATAAAGTGTGATGCATATTAAACACTAACCTTGTTCGCATCTGGTATGAACAGACGTCCCCTGCAAAAAAGAAAAAATGACTGCAATCTTAAAAAGTCACAGTTCCAATCAGAAGGCAGCACGTTTTATAAAAACTACTAAAAAAATTGCCGAACAAAATTACATGTGAAAGGCTAATATCTAAAAGTAAGTATGGAAATTGGATTTAGTTTCTCACAGACTCTATAACTATGATAAGTAAAAAACCCTGCAGTAGCAATAACAACTAAGGTAACCTTCACAAAAATTCAGGACAGTGACTTACAGCTAGTAAAAAGATGCACAGATGGAATCAAACGAATAAGCTGATTTTGAATACACGCAATACAATAGCAAAAGCGAAACCAAAATGATCAGCGCGGGTCTTGGCCGACCTACTATCCAATCATAAGGATTGGTAGGCACTCCAGTATAAGATCAAGTGAAAAGTTATAACAACTTATAGATTTTTATTTCACTTTTAATTATGATAGCGTGAATAACGACTTCATTTAGTGCTATTTTAACTCATAAATACACTACTTCCGGAAATCGCACTTACAAATTGTAGTAGTCAGTCCATTCATATGGTAAAATGACTCGTCATCTGTTTCATGCCTATAGCACACAATAGGTTGCAGCGTTTCTAAGTTTGATCTGTGCCTTCTCGCTCCACTGATTCAAGCACCCTCACCGGTAAATATTTCATCTTTGAGGTTAGGAATACAACTTTTCATTTCTGTTTCAAGCTCATTCCTCACTTCACACAATTACTGCATCTACTTTCGACGTCTGTTTTGCTTCATCATTTGCTCCGAAGTAGCGCGGCAGAAACGTTTTGCAAAACAGTCTATAGTTTCCGTATAACCAAGTTCCCCGGAGATTTCTGTGACTAAAAGACAAGTATCTTCTCATTACAAATGCTTCAGTAGCAGGAGCAGCTGCAGTACGATGACAGAATCAACTATCCAGCGTTCGTATTTCAAGACATCTAGGCAGGAGCGAACAGGGATACTTTGAAGTTTGGAAAGAAGCCCCAGTGGTTGACTCAGTTGTTGGGTGTCTCCACAAATACCTGTTTAATTTTCAGTTGCAAACAGTCACTTATCACCAAGCTTCTCAAGTTACGCTGGCAATGTAGACTACATAGATAGGTGCACTATACTCTCCATTGAACCACTATGGAAACGGCGTCTCAGAAACAACTTAGTTCTCTTGCACAAAACTCTGCATGTTCTGTCATACTGTTCCTCCCCACCAGCTTGGAGATACGTACCGCCAAATGACCTTAGAAATCATACACTGGCGTTGTCAATAGAGGGATGCAATAAACAGGTCAGATGTAAATTCTTTACTACCTATTACAGCTTGATCTAAAATAAGCTCTTTGTAATTGTACATAGCAGCACCTCTGTGTTGCAGTTTAAGCGCCTTATCAACTTGCTTTTGGGTTCAGATGATATCTACAGTCTGTTTGTAGATGGGTACCTTTCAACAGAGGCACTCAGAGATAGCTGTGTAGGACCCTAGTGTCTCCAAGGTAATGGAACTGATGGTAACTTAAGAACAAACATAGGCGGGATCTCTCTCTATGGTCTATTCAATGAATTAAATAGCTCTAAATTTGAAACGATGAGAACAGTGTGTATCAGGCAGTTTCCCCTCTGTTGTATAGCTGATACCATCGTACTACGTTGGCCCACATGATAAACAGGATACTCATCTGACTGAAAACGACGTCCAAATCCGCTTAGTTGTGCTGCCGAAGAGTCTGTTCTCAGAATTCCTTGCCAGCGTCCATAAATCATATTGTCTTACTTTCTACACACTTTCTACACTCCCACTTATTCACTTCTTCACGCCTCTGCATACGTCCGTATGCACGATGACTACTTTTTCCTTGTCTATTAAATTCCCGATTGGACGTCTCGACTGATATGACAAATAGTTTCAGTGCTATAATTTGTGTTTATCGTGCACTTTCTCGCCATAGTTTACTACAGAAAAGACAGATAATTGTCGTGCAGCAACTCTTAAATCTACATCTGATCTCTCTTTCTTTGGTTACTCTGTCGATATCTTGTTTCTAATTGACTCAATTACGCAATAAATTGTTCCATGCCCATGCTTCTTTTTCTTTCTCATAGGCAGATTCACAATGAAACCGCTGCATACTCATTAATTTGACGGCTAACCTCAAATTTGTGGCTTCAGTTGGGATTGTTCCTAGAAATGTTAAGATTACATGCTGTTTGTATCCAAACATGCAGGCTCTCCGGCTAATAGCACCCACCCACCTCAGAGAAGAGAACCGAAACCGACCTCATATGAAGCACCAACCTAGGAGACATATTGAATGGCTTAATGATGAGACCTTACTCTTCATTGGCTGCAAAATGAGAACAGTTTCTAGACAGAGTCATAACTTTGGCTTAATTTATCCCTGTGAATTTGTTCCCAATGGCACTGAACTAAACAGTCACCACATGCTGCGTGATACCAAGTGCCACTGGTTCCAAGCCATGTCACTGACCCATACCATTAGCTGAATCTAGTTTTGCGTGCTCTCTTTGAACAGCAATAACTTATTGATTGTTTGCACCTTTTTAAGCCTTACTATTGTTCGGCGTTTGATATCCTATGTACGTCTACTGGTTATGCGACTCATTAATTGAAGTGTAGAGGCGTAATCACAGGTGTCTGCCTATAGCTCACACTAGGCGATAAAGCCTGTATTATTGTTCACTACTGTTATATAGCGAAAGGGTTAGTATCTAATATTTTTAGCCAGCAACAGTTGGATAACTGCATCCTGGCAGACTATGTGTGGTGTACCAGTGTATCCTTTCTTACTTTTCTCAGACTCATAAACAGCAATAAAGTTCAGATGTTGCCCGCACAAACGGCATGTGTTTGTAAAATTTATTATTCGAAATATATTGTTATTATTATTTCCGCTGCAATCGTGACGGACCAGAAGTCGGAAGCCAGTTATTGTGCTTGAGGTTTCGTACGTAGTGGCACTCAGGATACTAGTAGGTGGGTGAGTTGATTGTGAGGCTGTCAAAGTAGCAGAAAATCGGGGGCGACCCCACTGCAGAAGAATTCCAACATCAGTCCTCAATATTACGCACAAAGTGTGATTTTCAGGAAGTTGATACTTTTTGGTCACGTTAAGGTTTAGGATTTTCCCGTCAAGTCGATACTGAGAACAGAAGAGAAAAAGAAGCACAGATCTTCCTCAAAGCCCATTTTTAGTAGAAAATCAAAATAAACTACTGAAATTATTTTGATAGCAGACCCCAAACAGTTGTTGCTATCATCGAAAAAAAGATGTGATGTAATTTGCCTGAACCGTGTGGTGTACTAGCGCAACATATTTGAAGCAGTTTGATCACACGAGTGCTAGCCAGAGGCGCCAGTATGAAAATACACCAAAGTTACCGGTAAGAAAACCGGTACAGTTCAAGTGGAAAGAATGCATCCTTAATCCCAATAACAGTTGAGATCAGTCAAACAAAAAATAATGGTGCTTTCCCTCGGGTTCAGCGGGCAATTTGTCAAGAAAAGTTTGGTGTGACAATGGGTTTTTTGAGCGCATAAGAGCGGCTTCTACCCCCTGTTGACCAGTGCCTCAGCAAGCTACAAATTACTTCCCATTATGTTTAAATAGACAGGCTTAAGTGACATCGTACATCCATGTACTGTCTCGTGGCGGTGATGTAATCAGTTATTCAGGAGCCCTGACGGCTGTTTTCCATATTATTCGGGTTGAGCGACTCCATCTGTTTTTAAAGCCACTCTAAAATATATGTTCTCTGCCCATGACCCTTCATGGAGAGGACTAGCTGGCCACCAAAGTAGGCTATTTCCGCGGAAAATCCGCCTAAACGTAAGCATTGGATGGAAGTAACTCCACCCAAAACGACCCGTTTCAAATTGATCCACGTCTTATGGAATGGCCTGAAATGGTGATATTCCCTATTGACTACCTTGGCTATTGCCTACAGGGCCCACACTTTATGGTTGAACAATTCCTAGTGAAAAGAATCGGTTGTACAACAGTCCTGCCAAGTGGACAAAGGTCTTCCAAAGTACTCTCCGATTTTCGCGTCCACAAGTGCCTTTGGAAGCCGAATATCGCTCCAAAACGTTGCGACAGACCACTTAAATATGGTACAAAGAGGGCAGGAATTAGGGCATGATATCATTTTGTAGTTTCCCTACAATCGCACAACGCTTAATATGGTACACAATGAAAAATTACTTGTTATTATTTCGAGTTGTGTGAAGTTAAGGAAAATACTGAGGTTCAAGCTTCATACCAGGTCAAGCAATTTAGGGTTGAAGAAAGTCATATCGGCCATTTTCTGGGTGGGCGACTTTAGGTGTATGAACCATCCCAAGTACTTCTATCACCTTTGACAACTTCGGATTCATTCAATTGAATGACAACCACCAAAACTGATTTTGTGCCCAGTAATCAATAAATTCCTGGCCATAGATGATGCTGGGGGTCTACCGATATGAAGTACATTTGTTTCGGTCATGTGGCTTGACACCCGCTGAGGAAAGTGTTCCTTCCGACGGTACTGGATTATTCATTTTGTTCTCCCTACAAGAGTGTCTACTCACCTGCTGTTGAACTTGCGTAATCAGCGTGGGGTAGAGTTAATCGGACTCTGCTCTTTGACTGCCGATGCTGACAGAGAAATTATCTTCAAGGCTAAAAGGGGGAAACAGCGTAGAAAGCGCGTTTGATAGCCGGTCTATAACTCTGAGTTGTCAATCATCTGTTTACCTTTAAAAAACTAAGTGATGAAGACTGGCTTCTCTGCTACCTAGCTATCATCTCCGAAAGCAGTTAGTGATATGGCTGCCCACAAACAGTTTTCCGCATCAGTTTGTGAAGGCGAATGTATGCATGCAATACTTTTCTCATCAACAGTTTACCCAGATCTATGGAAGAAAACAACTGTTTTAGGTAGCCGACTTATTGATAATCACACCAAAAAGCAAGTT